AAGCTCTTAAAGTAGCTTGACGCTCTGTCTGTTCAAGACGCCTTTCCTGACTTTGAGAAGGTGTTTCAGAAGCTCTTAAAGAAGCCTGACGCTCTGTCTGTTCAAGACGCCTTTCCTGACGTTGAGAAGGTGTCTCGGATGCTCTAAAAGCTTGAAAGGCTGGACTTACGTTTGCGAGGCATTACGAAGTAACAAAAAACCTATTTATAGAGAAACGTTAACGTTTTTTAAACAAAAATAAACCCAAAATATCTAAAAGGAATAAATATTCCTTTTAAATAAATATTCCTTTTAAATATTTTTTAAAATCAAAACAACAAAACCAATTCAAGACACAAGATGAATTCGAAAACGATAGCTAAAAAAAATCGAATCAACTTAAACCAAATCACAAAACAAATCGCAGAAAACCGAAATCGAAAGCAGTAGTCAATATAAATATAACCAACGAAAATAGAAGTAAGTGTAGAGTACACTATCTATACTATTAATATTCCTTTGAAATATTGTTAAACAACCTAAAACAACGAAAACCAATTCACGATTCTAAATAAACAAAATCCAAAATCAAAGTCAGAGTCTAAAGGTGATCGGTGATGAAGCTATTTCTAATTTGTCTTGTGTTGTTAATTGTAAACATGATTGTAAACTTTTATTGGATAAAAATAGTCCCGCTGGGTTTCTTGTTGGTTCTTTCCAGGATAGAGGTTTTTTATGCGAACCAGTGGTAAATTAAAAAAGTGACTTTCAATAAGTATTGTTATAATCTACATTGAATAAAAAAGTTTCCGTTTCTGTTTCTGTTTCTGTTAAATATGTATAAAGGAATACCAACCAAATCAACAAAACCGATCCAAGAAAATACACAAATCCGAAAATGAAAGCCAATATAAATCCATTCAACTTTAACCAAATCACAAAGCAAATAACAAACAACCGAAATCGAAAGCAGGTAGTCGAATAAGATACGAAATAGAAACAATTTAAGCGTATAGGTACCGTATGCACTATAAGTTGACGCGCGGCTCAACGGCAGCAGTTAAGTACATTTCAGGGAACATTTCGTTACCGCGTTTTAAAAACCTAGTAACGACATCTAGCGGAATCAATTTAAACTGTGTATACGTCGGTTATAAGAACTCTCAAAAAATATTTTTCTTATAATTTTGGTCTTATAATGTCACTCTACAGCCACCGAACTATCCCCATACAAAAATTCATGCCATGCCAACGCTCTGTTGCGACGTGAAAGAAGGACAAACAAAAAAACAAACAAACAAACACACTTTCGCATTTATAATATTAGTATGGATGGTTGTTAGATACGATTTCATGCGACTAAACGTTGGATTCTTGATTTTTAGGCGCTGGTAGAAAATACCTACGTCATGCAATATTTTGATCTTACAACTGTAGAAATCCTGATAGATCATTGGTATTCTTTAAAGAGTGAAAAAGTGAATGAAAACATTTGCTCAGTTGTGTAATAAATTAAAGGCTAGTTAATTTTTTTTCTAAATAGGATAGAATAGAACAAATTTTTATTCGATATAGATTAAATGTTGTAATTCACAAGAATTACAACTCACCAGGTTATAACCGTCAGGTTGAAAGTCATGTTTTATTTTAACATTGCACTAGTTTGAAAAAAAACCTCTGTCCTGTGAAGAACCAACAAGAAACCCAGCCGGACTTTAAAAAAAAATAATTTTACAATCACGAAATATAATCCGTAATTTAGTCTGAAGCGATGCCTGTATAACATGTAAGTGCGTGATCTCTGATATTATTCTGTCAAGTGATTACGATTACGGCAAGACATCGCAGAAATAGTCACAGGTTAGAATATTTTAGCTTCGTCAAATTTTTGATATGGTTTTATGTTTCACTAATGTAACATACGGGTTCGTTATATTAAGTACGATGAAACGTTTAGTATGATGCTAGAATCAAAAAACTTAGCAATATTTCAATCAAAACTGATATGCATATGTATAAGCTGTGCGATTTAGTTGAGAACAGATTTGAAGTTGCCATGCTGCCATGCTGCAGTTATATTAGTAGTATAGTTGGAGTACATATGGATCGGCTTGACCGGAAAATACTAGCGTAAAATAGTAGCCTAATGCTGCTGTGTTGCGTACGGTGAATGTAGAGAACCGGAGACCCTTTTTACTGGAAACGAGGCATTCCATCTTAGTCCTCACGGGTGACAACGCATTTGCATTTTGATTCGTAATCGAGGATATATGTAGATGTCAATGGGCTACAGCATCCACATACCATCAGGTGGACTGTGTGCTTGTTTGTCACCCTATCCTTTAAAATAAAAAATAAACAAAGAAAAAAGAATACAAAGAAGGAGGAAGAATTAGGTGGACTCTGTGCTAGTTTGTTACCCTATCCTATAAAAAAAGAAATATGTTGTGTATATATGTAGATGTCTGTGGGCCACAGTAGCCAGCAGGTAGACTGTGTGCTCGTCTGTCACCCTATCGTATACAAAAAAACTTGAACGAAGAAATAAGCACATAATAATGTATAGTTCTTCTTCTTAAGGTGCCGTCTCCTTGCGAAGGTTGGCAATCATTAGGGCGATTGCAACTTTTGAGAGTTGAAATCGCCCAATACTGTATAGTATGCACACACACACACATATATATATATATATATATATATATATAGTGCACTCTTACCATCACTCTCATATTCCAATGGGACGGTAAACCGACACAACCGGAGAGAGATCAGGTGCAGGACCACCAGCTTTACGTGCCTTCCGAATCACGAGGGTGATATAACGCCAACTTCCTGACTCCGGGCAGCTATTAAGAATTTCTTGACGGAAAAACTCAATAATTAATTTTTTTTCGCCCGACCCGGGATTCGAACCCAGGACCTCATGATCAGTAGTCGTGCCACTACAACCACTAGACCAAGGAGGCAGTCAGAAAGAAGCTATTTACATCAATCATATATATATATATATATATATATATATGTATATATTTATATATATTTACAGGGTCATTTTTAATTTACTGAAGACCTTTGGGGAAAATATTATTTACACCATAACAACAATATCTGTAAGAAAAAAAAAAATATTTCTTTAATTTGTCTCGTAAACAGCAAAGCAGTAATTATACAAGGTAATGCTTTTGAAAATTCTTTTCCCTGATAACAAACCAGCTGGTGCGCTTGTAATCTATGGAAAAAGACGACGATTATTTTATATTTGTGTTATTTAATATACGAAGTAATCTTAACTCAAAAACTTAAGTATAAGAATGCGATAAATATTGCTTTATTAACGTTATATTATAAAGCCGACCACGTTATTTTCCTCTTCGAAATTCATTTGGTAAGTTTAATTGCGTCGCTCTTTACTGTAAACAAAAACTTCAAACAACCGTTAAACATTGGTTGGCAAGCAAATACAAGTTTCAGTGCAGCCGAGGAGGTTTTACCAAACGTTCCGAATGTAATGGTTGTTTATTTTATTTCAATTTTATTTCAAGTTGCCAACATAAATTGGAAATATCGTATTTACCAGGTAACAAAGACTGGAGCCGTCAGTCGATTTAATTTCGAAAAATAAATATTTTACTCAACCCATTACATGCAATCAAAAATTACACATTACGTTTTTTTAAGGGTAATAACTAGCTACCTTGCATTATACACTTTAAATTATGTTTCTTGCTCCTCAAAAAATTTGTTATACGTAATAATATATCGCAAGAAAGATATCACTTGACATATGTCTGGTAAAGTTACATTCTATATAGTATATAACGCTGCTGGATCCAGGCTTCCGCTGACATCTGAAAGGATTATTGAGAATTTGTCTGCCGTGCTGCTCCAAGGCCGCGTTGGCGGCCACATGCTCTCGAAACACTTTATTTCTCAGAAACGCAGTTTTTCTCATAATGTTTTCTGTACCGCCTAGAACGTAATAAATCAGCACTTAAAATTGCAAATTAACTTTTTCATTGGTGCGGCGTTAATCAAACCCAAGTTGCTCGCGTACCATGAAATTTATGGCGTGGACTAAACTCCACGAGTTATCATGGCATAACGGTATTGTGCTGCTCGCTCATTTTTCGAAACCTTATCTTTGATCAAAATAGAAAGACGAGGCGTTTCTGTATGAAATATATGTACATATATGTGTTTAAATGTTCAAATGTTGACAGCGTAAAATATAAGCTTAAATGTTTAAGTTAATAAGTGCAGTATTCATTTTATAAATTAATATTTTATTAGCACAAGCTCATATGGTCAATAAAGTGATTATTATCATTTAGATTTTAATACTATACACTTAATTAATTATTGAAATGTAATATAATTGCATTAGTTATGTATATTTATGAGTTTATTTGATTGTATAGAACGATGTTTGGTTGTATACAATCGATAGGCAAATATATTGTAAATAAGATAATAAAAATATATTTGCCAATTGAAATCTGTAGAAAAACTAGAGCTATTCGTAAACACGTTGTAACTGTGTCAGACACACGCAATAGTTTTTGCTGCTGCATGAAACCCAACAAGTTTATTAGATTTATAGGTCTGTGACTTTTATTTGTTCTATTTAAATCTTTATCAAATAGATGCGTGCCCTTATTGTTGTATGTACTGTGACAAATGTGTATATTTCATTTTGTGTAAACATATTTTGCCAACATATTTTCAAAAAAACATCGCGTAATATTTAGAATACCAAATTCCAATTTCCTTGGCTTACAACCCAATATTTATGCCAATCACTAATTTAAAATCATTAGTTTTTCAGATACTCCTTGCAAGGAGTGCGAGTAATGATTATATGAAACAGACGTGTATTTTGTTGTCTTTAAAATACAGTTACAGTTTTCCGCTAAAATAAGCATTAAACAGTAGTAAATAAGTTCTAAATTTCTGCAAAGGATATAATGCATACATTAATTCAACAGTGACGACGAAGTTGTGTGGTATAAGTCATGAACTTAATGCGCTCACCACCCCGACTAAGTGGATCATTAACAGATTTAGGAACATCGAATAATGAGTTTAGTATGGAGCACCAAAATACCCAGAGAAAACGTAAGCAACCAGAGCATAGTTGCAACTGCAACTGTGCACAAGAACTTCAAGATTTCCGCAAAGATGTTACGTCAATGTTACAAAAATTCACAAACACCCAGGAAGCTACAATGAACTTCATTCGTGACAATATTACAGAAATGAAAACACAGGTGAACAATATTAAAGTGGCTACCGACACTCTGAATAAAGACCAGATATCAATGAAGGCCAAAATATCAGACATAACCACAAGGGCAACAGCGGCGGATAATAAAATTCAATCTCTTGAGGCAGAAAACGTTACTTTAAGAAATAATATGGCATTCAGTACGACGATGTCAACTTCTGATGAAAATGTTATCCAAGAATTACAAGAAAGGGTTACTAGGAAAAAAATATAATAGTGGTAGGCATACGTGAATGCAAAACAACAAAAACTGATGAAGGCCGCGCCTATGACTTTAGTGAAGTCTCGAAAACTATAAACAGCTTGATACAAGAGTGCCCGAAACTTTCTCGAGTATTTCGTCTTTGTAAATATCAACCTACAAAGGATCGCAACATTAAAGTATGCTTTGAATCTGCACAAACTGCAAAAATGCTACTTCGTAATAGAGATAAACTTCAAGGTGGCATTATGGTCTATTCAGATCAAACAGCGGCCCAACATACTTATATGAAAAATCTTAAAAAAAGAGTTAGCACAGAGAAAAGCAAATGGAGAAAAAGACGTTACAATAAAATATATAAAAGGATTGCCAAAAATAGTTTTAAACAAAGACCCAAAACACTAAATTTTCAATCGCTTCTTAACACCAAACGTCCTTTCATAGATGATCAAGAGAATATAACTTACCAAGTACTTAATAATTATCAGAATATTTCTTCAAATAAATCTAGTCTTAATTTTTTCTATGCTAACATCAGAAGCATCTGCAGATCAGATAAATTTGACGAACTTAAGCGTGTCCTGCACTCCATCAAAAATGTATACACGTTGTACTGACTGAAACGTGGATAAAATCTGAAGAACAAGCTCAACAATTTCGCATACAAAATTATTCACACTACTATAACATCAGGCCTGGTAAAGTCGGTGGGGATGTATTGATATATGTCCATGATGATTTGAAACATAAGCTGTCAACAGCATCCTATACTGGAGGTAACAACTATCTGAGTATATATATTTATAAGTATGCACTTAATGTTGGTGTTATGTACAAGCGTGTTCAAAGTTTGAATGTCCAACTTTAATGATTTTTTTATGTAACTTCGAAAAACAGCTTCTGCTAAAAAGAGTACTTTAATTTTTGGAGACATGAATATAGATCCATTATGTACTGACAGTATGACAAAACGTTATAAAAATATGCTTACGGAATCTGGATACAAAATTATAAACAAAATAGACCCTGAGTACTGTACTCGGGAAACAACAACTACAAAAACAATTATTGATCATGTTTCTACTAACTTGAAATGTAACAATTTTCATTTGGCTATCATTGAATCAGCCCTATCGGATCATAAAATCATGTACTTAGGAATAAAAAGAGTAATGCCTCCACCAAAACAAAAAATAGTGTATGAAGCGACTGATTATAGTAATTGATAGAATCAGGCGTTACTTTGCGGAAATCCATTATAATAAAAAATAAAAATATAAATTTCTTTGCAACTTCCCGCTAAACATATAAAATGATGTGTCTTACCTGGATTGAAGCGCACCTCCCGCCCTCCCTCAATTGCATACACTAACTCCGTCACCACTAGACCAAGCACCACTACTCTCAACACCACTATTCCAGGCAAGACACACCATCGACGATAATACGACACGTGTTTCGCCTCTACACGAGGCATCCTCAGGTAATATAGACTCTACGGCGGCTGACCGCTAAGTGAGCGGCGAGTCGAAACAGTTGCTATTTATACACGCTGACACAATCGCTCCCTACCAAAGTAGCGAGTGACCGCGCCGTGCGATAACAAATCTGCTACTAATTATTATTATTGTTATGATTAATATTTTAAATACTATTATTATTATTGTTTTATTGATATTATTATAATTATTTATTATTATTAATCTTAAAATTATTATTAAAGATTGGCCTTAAAGATGTTTAACAAAGGTGAATTAGAAACATTTGGATATAATTGGGAATAACATGAAGTTGTTTACACTGCTGATTAAACCAAACATTTTGAGCAGCAATACGATGTAGCTTTGTTAATTTAACATAGAGTCTTGCCTGTTCGGCCGTGCTAGCCTTTTTAAGATAATTGATAGAATCAGGCGTTACTTTGCGGAAATCCATTATAATAAAAAATAAAAATATAAATTTCTTTGCAACTTTCAGATCTCTTTAAAAAACGTCGTCTGCATCCCGGGGAAACAAATGATCTTCTTAATTTAACCTCTCTCTGTATGAAACAAAATTATTTCCGGTTTAATAACCGTTTCTATCTACAAAAAGAAGGGTTAGCTATGGGGTCCCCTCTAAGTCCACTTATGGCGGACATTTTCATGGATGATTTCGAAAAACAACATATAGTTGTTAACCAAAATATCTTATACTATTATCGATATGTAGACGACATAATTATTTGCTGGACAGGCACAAGGAGACAACTGGATATTTTCCTTAATAAAATAAATAGAGTCCATGAAAAAATTAAATTTAAGCTTGAATTGGAACAAGATGGCTCCCTTAATTTCCTTGATTTAACAATAACAAGAAAAGAGTCGTTACATGTTTTTCAAATTTATCGAAAGCCAACTCATACCGACACAGTCATCCCAGCTCATCGTGTCATCCATGGCAACATAAATTAGCCGCTTTTTATTGTTACATTAACCGTCTGTCCACTGTTCCATTAAATAAAGAAAATTATTTAAAAGAACTTAATATAATTTATCAAATTGCGGTCTCTAACGGTTTTTCAAAAAGTCTCGTTGATAATCTTATTAAAAAGAAACAAAAGCATGTTGTTCGCAATTCTTTGTACGCGGTTCGATCTCAAAGTGTCCGGCGGTATGTGGGTAGTTTGACCTACTTAGGCCCCATATCGGAAAAAATAGCTAATAGTCTTAAGAAAAACGGCGTTAACGTGGCATTCAAAACAAACAATTCGCTTAGGAATATTTGTAATAATAAAGATAAGTTAAATATTAGTCAAAAATCGGGTGTTTATAAACTTGTTTGTGACGAATGCCACGCCGTTTACGTGGGTCAGACTGGTCGCAATTTCGGGACGCGCTATAAAGAACATATGGCCGCGTACAGAAATTGCAATCCTGATAAATCCCATTTTGCTAAACATCTCTTGGACACTGGACACAACCTAGCTAGCGACCATTCCTTTGAAGTCTTACATACCTGTAATAAGGGGCTGCGACTGTGTGTGCTGGAACAGTTGGAGATTTTAAAAAGTAATAATGATAATTATACACTGCTGAATGAACAAACAAATGTTATTAATTCACCTTTGTTAAACATCTTTAAGGCCAATCTTTAATAATAATTTTAAGATTAATAATAATAAATAATCATAATAATATCAATAAAACAATAATAATAATAGTATTTAAAATATTAATCATAACAATAATAATAATTAGTAGCAGATTTGTTATCGCACGGCGCGGTCACTCGCTACTTTGGTAGGGAGCGATTGTGTCAGCGTGTATAAATAGCAACTGTTTCGACTCGCCGCTCACTTAGCGCTCAGCCGCCGTAGATATATCTATATTACCTGAGGATGCCTCGTGTAGAGGCGAAACACGTGTCGTATTATCGTCGATGGTGTGTCTTGCCTGGAATAGTGGTGTTGAGAGTAGTGGTGCTTGGTCTAGTGGTGACGGAGTTAGTGTATGCAATTGAGGGAGGGCGGGAGGTGCGCTTCAATCCAGGTAAGACACATCATTTTATATGTTTAGCGGGAAGTTGCAAAGAAATTTATATTTTTATTTTTTATGATTATAATAAATTAAATAAAATTATAGAATTATCAAAATTTCAAAATATTTCCTGTAATTTTAATATTCTAGAAGAATATATTATAAAAATAACTGCCGAAAGTAAAACAAAAAAAAATATAAAATATTGAACCAACCTCAAAAAGAATGAATTAATAGCAACATAATAGCTCATATTAATGAAAGGAATATATCATGGAATAAATTTAAACAAAATACTAAAAATAATAACTTCGAGCTAGATTTTAAATTTAAGAGAGACACGCTGGCACAAACGATTAAGAATACAAAACAGAAGTATTTCTACGGAGAATTCATGAAATGTACAAAAAACCCCAAGAAAATGTGGAAATTAATTAATAATCTAGCAAACAACAAAATTTTAAGTAATTGTGTTCCCCCAAACCTTACAGATGAAAACGGAATAGTGAGCACGGACCCCATAGAGGTATGTGAAACCTTTAATCGTTTCTTCGCTAACATAGGTATACAACTAGCAAATGAAATACCAGACAAGTTTCATAACAATGATACACGTTACCTAATCTACACCAAACAACTGCTCATCATGAGCTATCCCGATTTTCCCCATGCACAGCTAATGAAGTATCTATAATCATAGATGACTTGGATTCAAATACGTGCACAGGTATTGATGGTATAAGTACTAAAGTCGTAAAGTGTATAAAAAATTATATAATTCATAATCTGACTGATTGCCTTAACAAACTTTTAAATGAAGGAGTCTTCCCAGAAAGCTTAAAAATCGCTAAAGTCACATCAGTGCACAAGACCGGTACAAAAATAAATCCCGGAAACTATCGACCAGTTTCAGTTCTGCCAATACTCTCCAAAATTCTTGAAAAAATTATTTACATGAGATTGGACGACTGCCTTACTAAAATTAACTTTTTGTATAACCATCAATATGGATTTCGAACCAAATCTAACACCCTTGGCGCAACTATAGATTTAGTAACCATTATTAAAACCATAATTGATCAAAAACAGTTTGCTTTAGGTGTTTTTGTTGATTTAAAAAAAAGGCTTTCGACACGGTCAGCCATTCCATACTACTAAAAAAATTGGAATGCATTACTGGAAACGTATACAAAATGCTAAAGTCTTATTTGGATGATCGGTATCAGATTGTAAAAATTGGAGACTACCAGATTAGTCGCAAGCCTCTAACATGTGGCGTAACACAAGGCTCAATTCTTGGCCCATTGCTGTTTCTGATCTACGTAAACAACATTCACCAAGCGGGACTACAGGGTCGCCTTGCTCTCTACGCAGATGATACAAGCTTATTTTATTTCGGGAGCAATGTCAAAGAAATAACGATGCGCGCACAAGAGGATCTAAACACACTTCACTATTGGCTCCAATACAATCTATTACAATTAATACTTCTAA